GTCTCCCACCTGAGATTCAAGGGATGCCTACTCTTTTAGCCTTCCAGAAGTCATGAAGATCTGGATCTTTCCCCAAGCATTGGACCAAGGATGGAGGTTCATTCAGGAGGCTGCTTTGTCTAGCACCTGGTGAGAAGAGTGGTGTGGTCTATATATATCTATGGAGATTCTCAGTCATCCAGGTTATGGTTGTCCCAAAGGTGTTTTTTCAAGAGGCAACTGGACTTTCTGGTTTTTTTCTTTAAAGATGTTTCACTTCTCATCCAAGAAACTTCTTCAGTTCTGACTGGATGATGGGAAATGGAAGGATTTATACTCTTTGCAGACAGCTGGTCATTTGCATTCTTTTAGCGAGTCGTAAATGTCATCTGGAGGTTTATCTGTGTTATCAGGGTCACCTGAGTGGTGTAAATGGGTGTGGAGCCTTCTTGGAACTGTTGAAAGGACTGTGTTGTAGATTGGAGATAAATGATGCCATATCCCTCCCCCTCTGTTAAGAGAAGGCTGTTCAATTTTGACATAGATGGCCTCTTTGACCCCTCTTTCAAACCAGCCGTCCTCTCTGTCCAAAATGTGGACTTTGTTGTCTTCAAAAGAGTGATCTGTGTATTTTAATCTGTGGACTGCTAAATCTAGTCATAATGTGTTTGTTCACCTGAGTTGTGCCATGCACTTATGAAGTGATTTTTGTTGTTGTCTGTATTCCTCCTTTTATCAGTTATTGGGAGCTGCCTATTTACTGGTTTTACTTATTTGCGCCCCCAAATATTTAACTTGTTCCTTTACTACTAGAATACAATATTCAATAAGCCTTCAACAAGTCATTTTATTTACTTAGAACAGGGCGTCTCCAAACTTGGCAACTTTAAGACGTGTGGATTTCAACTCCCAGAATTCCTCAGCCAACATGGAGGAATTCTGGAAATTGAAGTCCACACGTCTTAAAGTTTCCATGTTTGCAGACCCCTGACTTAGAAGAAATTAAATCAGAGCTTCTGACTTAATAATTCCTTTGGAAGCGTAGGGTGTAAATCAGGAATCTCAAACTTGTGGAAGGGTGCATACAGCCTCCTGGATTTTTTTGCACAGCCCATAACCACATCAAGAAGCTGTCATACTCAGATCAAGGACTATCAACTCACTATAGCTACAGCTTGCAGAGGATAGAGCAGGAACACATCTTTATTCTTATCATTTGGGCAGGGACAGTGTTCTGCAACCCTGCCTGGTACCCTTGTACCAAGAGGCATACACCTTTCCTGGCTAAATTGCTAAGAGATGCCCCATCACCACTACTTCCCATTCAGGCACCAACTAGTAGCTGCAGAAGGCAAGTACAGAGTGACACCAGCCCTACCCTGCTGCCTTCTATCAGCTGTGGATGATGGAAGGTCATCTCAGCCCAAATGGCAGGAACAAGATGTTTTCTGGCACAGCCCTAAACATCCAACTTTGCCAGGTGAAGGCTGAGATTATATATCTGCTGATCTTTCATAACCCTCTTTCGCTTGTCACCCAGAAGCTGTGTTCAGACAGGACTGCCTATCCTCTTCTTGATATTGAATTACCATCCTTTTACTCCCATGCATCACAAAGCTGCTAATCCAAAGTTCCACATTTAACTGGCCACTTTCTATTCATGATAGCCCTGCAAGATAGGCAAGGCTTATACTCAAATCTTAAAATGATCTGAAATCTCTGTGCGTCCCACTGATTATAAGTGGAAAACATCCAATAGCAGTCAGCGTTTTTTCTCAGTGAGATTGTATTTATTCAATAGATATTTAGCCTTTAACAAGATTGCTTTATTTAATTGCATTTTATGTTTACACCAGTAAAGTAAGCATACTTTATATATAGTAAACATACACTAGAGTAAAAAATGAAGAGTGCATCAGATGATGAAAAAGACTTTAGTGTTTGCAGCCTTTTAGTGAATAAAGCAGTCCACATGATAATATGAGTTTGAAACTCCTGGTTTAGGTCATTCCACAACAGGACCAAGTAGCATTAGTTTAACCCTGTGCATGACTGAGTATATTTAGGGTTCAATTCCATCCCATTGGAATCAGTTAAGTGTATGAATCAATCCCCTTTTGACATTTCTCCAATGTATTAAGCTTCTAATTGATCCAGTTAAATATGTTGGGAGAAGAAGAGCAACACTATATCCCAGTGATGGCCAATCTTTTTGCCATCGTGTGCCAGGATGGGGGCAGGTGGGGGGGGGTCATGTGCGTGGGTGCCCACACCCATAATTCTATGTGCCCCACCCCTGCGTGCTCTCCCCCCGCTCCTGGCCCGCATTGGCCTGGTAGGCCTATTTTTCTCTCTCACCTGGCTCCAGAGCCTCTCTATGAGTCTGGGGAGGGTGAATCCCCCCCGGAGGCCCTCCGGAGGCCAGAAACGGCCTGTTCCCCAACTTCTGGTTGGACAGGAAGTGATGTTTTTTGCTGTCCCCAGAGACTCCTAGCTGAGCTCGCGTGCCCACTGATATGGCTATGCATGCCACCTGTGGCACATGTGCCATAGGTTTGACATCACAGCTATATCCGATGCCTTCTAGTGACAGTAAGACTGAGAAATCTCTATAACTCTTGTATGTCTGTATATGGCAAATGTATCCTGGCTATTATACTTTTATACTGTCCATTTCATTTGGGAGAAGCTTGCCCTTCAAGGTTGACCTGTCATTCTGAGAAGACAGAACTCAATGCATCTTTATAATAAAGCAGGCATTTATTCAAGGTTTCCCTAAGTAAGAATTATCTTTTTGCAGAGAAGTTACCATACATATCTATTTGCAATGCACTAAGTGTGGAAAAGCAATATGTACAGCAGTAAATACAGAACATTAATCTCACCAGTTTGCTGCAAGCGTATAAACACTATTATTTTTTTTAAAGCACTCCTCAAATAGACATTTGACCTCATTGCTTTACATTGTTTGGTATTACACTTCCTGTTCATTATGTTTGCTCTTTATTCACCACTTCCTGCAACATAATTGAGTACCTTGGGGCAAATGCAAGGCCATTTGTGAAGGTATGGCATAATCAGCTATCTTGAAGTGATATTTCTCTATGACATTTCAGTCACTGATCCCGAACATCTCACCGATATATTATTTCATTTCATTACTGAGAAATGATATAGACGTTTCACCGATATATTATTTCATTTCATTACTGAGAAACGATATAGACATTTGCAAAGTAATTCCATGAATTTTAAGTTGGTATTTTAAAAAACGGTATCATAAAAAAAATTACGTTTGTATTTGTGGTTTAAAAACAATCCAGACATTTCTTATAATCAGGTATGGGGTGAAGCCCCCGGTTCGCACCAGTTCTATAGAACTGGTAGTAAAACCGGCGGGAGACTCCGCCCACCAACCCCGACATCATCAAAACGCTTCTGTACATGCACAGAAGCTTCTGTGCTTGCAGCCCCCCTGCAAACCGGTAGTAAAGGTAAGTAGAACCCACCCCTGGGTGAAGTGTATGGGTGAAGACAAGAGAATTCTGAATGGCCATGGATTATAATTTCATATATAATCTGATTTTTAGGCTACTTAATTTAAAGTTTTAAATTTGTGTTTAATCCGGCAGAATTCATTTCGGAGCGGAAACACCATCCATATGTAAGGTGGCCAGATGCAATATATTTCTGCAGCTTTGAGAGTTGGTTAAAATATAGAATTGTAATAGCTAGAACTGGTCAAGAAAGATGCATCTCCTGATATTTGCCCTTCTTTATAATTAATAAATGTATAGCAATTCTATCAGTATTTGCAACTGTACATGGTCTTCCCATAGATATTCCCTGTGCAAAACAGAATAACAGATGTAGGCATTACTGTAGTACACAAGAAAGGATAAAGATCTGATCGGTTTTTTTATAAAAAAAACACTTTTCCTTGTTTTTATTAATATTTATATCATTATCATCCAGTAACATCTTTGCTAGCTAATACAAGTACCAGGTATATTATTTTTTATTCTCTATTAAATTTTGCTATTAATGTACACTTACTGAAATACTTTAAAATATACAGGTTTAGATTATTTATAAGCAACATGTTTGAACATAAGTAACCCGCTTCATTATGGACCATTTATTTTATTTATCACATTTTAAAATCTCATAAAATAATTTTCCACACATAAAACAGTTAACTGAAAAAAGTTGAGAATTGAACAGTGTAATGGAGAAACTGTCAGGCAGTTAGTGATCCCATGTTAAAAATACAGTATTGTTGAAAGTGGTCTGTGGTCTGTTGGTTTCTGTTTAGAATAATGTTGGCTGAAAAATCTTAAATGAATTGACTAATTTCCACTGACTAGGATGTATGGGACAGTGGCTTAGATTGGAATAAGTTTTATTCAAGCATTTTGAGGGCGCAGAGAAGAGTTCTGAAAGGGAGCAGCATCATGGGGATAAGCAGCTACACTGAGTCTCTAAGATGATCAAAGATTTACCTGTCAAAGAATAATCACCCCATCATCACTTCAGTCTGGGAGTGGATGGTATAATGACAATTTATTACATAAATCCTTTCCTTACATCTAGATGATTAAGTAGGAGTAAAGCTAGTTAATTAGGGGCTGGAAGGAGCTATGCGTCAGTTGGGAACACCCATCTATTAAGCAGATATTGCTTAATATATGCTGTAAAGATGTGTGTTATTGGCATGTTGTTGAGAAAAGACAAAAGGATAGAAAAATGTAAGGCTATGCTATGCTTTCTTGCCTAGAGAAAGGCGGAGGAGATTGACGCACAAATGAATCCAAAAGAATCAGCAAAGCTGACATTGAAAAGCAAAAGTACTTGTCAACTTGTAATATGGCTTGGCTGATGTCTAAACTGCTAATTTTTGTCTTTGTTCCTTAATAAACAAGACTAAAAGTGTCATTGCCTGTAGGAGTCTGATCCTGAACCCATGTGCATGTGCCTCCAGTGACAGCACCCATGTGCTGACTTAGGTACAATATAAAGCATTCTAAGTGCCCATGCAATGCAATCTTTTATTTCATGTCTCTTTGCAGGACGGGCTTTATATATTGCCCTCATTTGTTACCATTTCTTTGGTTTTGAAGTCAGATCTTAAAAAGTCTGGATGAACTTTTATATTCTGGCTTCAACATTTTTTTTTTCATCTCCGTTTTCTCATAAATGAATTCCTGGTCACATTAAGAGAGAGAAAATGAATTGAGTATAATTATAGATAACACATTACTAAGTATATTCATTTACTTAAATGCATGAGCCTTACACATACTGTATATGCAAATTGAATACTGTGTACATATGCAAGACTTTGTGGCATATCGATTGGAGATGCTTGTGGAAAATCTGATATCTCTACAGATTGTGAATTAGCCTCCACTTGTGTTTTCTTGCTCAAGGTTGAAAATAATATTTTTGAACTTGTGCTGGCTCAAGTGTTTCACTTTCCTTACCACTTGTTACCCTCTTCTAGGCAAACTCCTGCATTTAGTAACACATGCAATGGCAACATGTACCCTCCCCTGGGTCAGTGATCACTACCCAGCAGCTCTCTAATTTCTTCTGCACCTGCTGTTACCAAAGATGTTCCCAGTTGCACTGTGGTTATAACATTCACTGTCTCGCAGAACTTCAATTCAAAACACAATACTGCAGATAATTCTTTCCCTGAGTTATCCGTTCATTTTTCTGGTGCATTTTTTAATTTGTTAGTTTGGTTTCTGTTGAATAAGCCCACTGATGCATCCTTGAAACACTGGAGGGTTTTTTTTTTTTACACCCAGCTTCCAAATAACCCAAACCAAGTATTATACATTTGGGGCAGAGGTGAAATTCAACATTTTCCCCTACCAGTTCTGTGGGCGTGGCTTGGTGGGTGTGGCAGGGAAAGGATATTGCAAAATCTCCATTCCCTCCCCACTCCTGGGGGAAGGATATTGCAAAATCTCCATTCCCACCCCACTCTGGGGCCAGCCAGAGGTGGTATTTGCCGGTTCTCTGAACTACTCAAAATTTCCGCTACCGGTTCTCCAGAACCTGTCAGAACCTGCTGAATTTCACCCCTGATTTGGGGGCATTTAGCAGCAGGAATGAAACCCTGCTACTCATATAACAGGAAAAACTATGAACTACGCACCAGAGACTTTTCCTTAAAGATTGAAGTGGATATTTAATTTAAAAATATCTCTCATGTGTTCAGATATGAATATGTTCTGCATTTCAGGCAAATGATGTAAGTATTACTCTACTGAGAAATGTCCAGGACAGCAGTTGCTGTTTAGGCATGGAAATTTGGAAGCATGAACAACCCTTTATGAACCCAACATGAATTGTGAAATGGCCTGGGAAACAGCTTATGCAGAGGGATCAAAGCATTGAATGTGGGATCAGCTCAAGAATGGAAAAACAACAGAAGTTTTGAGGTAACAGAATGACATCAGTAATTACTGTGTATGAATAAATGTTCCTTCCCTTTAGATTTACACTTCATTCAATAGATATGATTTCTGTTCTGTGCAAGTTTGATTTTAGAAGCACAAACAGATTTACCTACTTGGATCATATCCAGCTTGGACTGGAAAGTCATTTCTCCCAAAGGACCATAATGCTTCATATAGCATCGCTCTGCCATGTTGGAGATTCCTGCCAGCATCCGGCTTAATTCTCGAGTCTTCAAGAAATATAAAGAAGTAGACAGGCAAATTTTAAGGAGATGTAAGAAAAAAATGAGTTGCCTTGAATTCAACGTATTCACTTGCATTGAAAGAGTCACAGTTGTCCATTTATCAAAGCTAAAATGAAAGTTAAATACAGCACCATCTTCATTAACATTATGGGCCTCAATTTTCTCATTCTATAATGAGCATAGTAGAAGAATATTCCAATCAATCAGACATTATTCTTCTGCTATAGCTCAAGTAGCCTTCCTGCCTGATCAAGATCTTTTTCAAAGCACCTTATGATTTAATTGTTCCTTGCCACAAATAAAAAAATCTTTCTAATAATACAGGCTCTGATCAATAAATATAATTCACATTTGCTGTCAACATGCAAAATCATCCCACCATCCTCACCCAGAATTTAAATCCTGGAATGGAAAAAGATGGAAAAAGATACATTTGGAATTTCTGAGCCAGTTTTACTCTAATACAAATATTGCAAGATAATCTCAATTATAATTCCTTTCACAAATATGTGACAATACTGCTTAGTTTTCTCTTCTTATTTTAATTCTTTCTCTTTTTACCCCAGCTGTGTGTTTCTTTTTCTATTAGCCTGCTTTCCAAACAACTACACCTGTTAATGCCTACAACTTCATAAATTACATGTGCTTTCACAGAACAGCTTCACTGTGGTAATTTATCCTCATGCCAACAGGGCATTAGAATAACAGAGTTGGAAAAGACCTTAGTCCAATCCGCTGCTCAGGCAGGAAACCCTATACCATTTCAGACAAATGGTTGTCCAATCTCTTCTTAAAAACTTCCAGTGTTAGAGCATTCACAACTTCTGGAGGCAAGTTGTTCCACTGATTAATTGTTCTAACTGTCAGGAAATTTCTCCTTAGTTCTACGTTGCCTTTCTCCTTGATTAATTTCCATCCACTAATTCTGGGCTGGGCTACTGTCCATAAAGCTTTAATGCACAGTAATTTAAAGGCCACAATTGGCCTTTGCTGGCCTTTACAATTTTTACTGAAATTCCAGCCCTTTCCCTTTCCCTTTCCCCCACATGAAAGGGCCTCCTCCAATTGGCACACAGTTTTCTTTTTCATTGACTGAGTGAAGCCTTTTAAATGTATTTTTTTAAACTATGGGTCAACCCATCTGATTATCAACTAGCAGATGGAGGCACATAGAATTTTTGTATTTCTTGGTTACCATACTGTTGATGATCCAGATTAATGCTGTCTCTGGATAAGTAGCTTGAGAAAAAGGTTTAGGTGTATTGATTGGTGTAGGAGCTGTAAGCTACCTTAAGGACATTATGCAAGGAGAGGAAGTATGGAGGCAGGACTCTTGGGAACAGCAACCATTGGGAAGGGAGTTCCCTGCCAGGTAGGGTACAGAAAGACAAAAGACAGACCTTTCAGTTACACTTCCCATTAATGGCACGAAGCCAGGACATGCTATTTATATTCAAAGATATCACTCTCTAGATAGACCAACTGACACATCAACCAGGAACCAGCGCATTCCAAGAAAGAAAGAAAAAAGGGGAGGGGGAGCTAAAAAAGTCAGGATTCTAAAATAAATAAATAATTTTATTTCTATACCGCCCTTCTCCCAAAGGACTCAGGGCGGTGTACAGCCTATTAAAAGCACAAAGACAGACATCAGTTAAAAATAATTAAAATTATTAAATAATTTTGGCTCAGATTTAAAACCCCAAAAATTTAAAACACCCAATTTAAAATCATTACATTGATAGCCCAGCCTGGCAGAACAGCAGGGTCTTGAGGGCACAGCGAAATACACGGAGGTCGGAGATCTTACGCATTTCCAGGAGCAGTTCATTCCACAGGGCAGGGGCTCCCACAGAGAAGGCCCTCCCCCTGGGTGTCACCAGCTGACATAACTTGGCTGATGGCACCCTGAGGAGACCCTCTCCGTGGGAGCGACCTGGCCGGTGGGAGGCTGTTGGTGGCAGAAGTCAGTCTCGAAGGTACCCGGGTCTTATGCCATGGAGCGCTTTAAAGGTAGTAACCAACACCTTGAATCGCACCCGGAAGACCACTGGGAGCCAGTGCAGCTCGCACAGGAGGGGTGTCACGTGGGCACAACAGGTTGTGCCCATAACCACCCGCGCGGCTGCATTCTGGACCAGATGGAGCCTCCGAGTGCTCTTCAAGGGGAGCCCTCTGGTCTCCCTCACAGCCAAAACAAGGCTGAGGGGCAGAAAAATAGGTCAGGGACTGGATGGAAGTGGTTGTCCCAAGAGAAAATTGGCAGAACCAACTGGAGATACAGATTTTCCAACACAGAACATATATTTGTCTTAAGGAGCAGCGCACCTAGATAAGCTAGTACTATTTTTACTGTAAGATTACAATAACAAAATCTTGAAAGTCTGAAATAGATTTCTCCCTGTGGCCTTTACAGCCATGAAACTGGGGAAGGTCCCTTCTGACATGTTTGTCATACCCACATTCCTGCTGTGTGCTAAGCTGCCTCTTATTCAACTCTAGTCTTGACAGTGGCTCTCCTTCTGTCTTCCAAAATCATTCCCACGTACCATTACAATGTGTCATTCAACACTGCCTCCTGTCAGCAACGGGGTGCCTCTATATTTCTGTTTTTCTGTTTTCTTTTTTGCCTATATTTCAGTGTTTTATGGTCTTTATTGGTATTATGTATTGCATGCTGCCCCGAATCATGTTTTGTGAAGTGGATGGCTATATAAACCTTCTAAACAAAGAAGTAAATTTAGTGTCTGGAGGTAGGATAAGAGGGAAAACACCACTTCTAGAGCAAAGCAATCTTTAGCCATCCTAGAGCTGCTTCAGCTGTGGGTGGATTTCCGGTGGACATGCTTTCTGGAAAGAGAGGGCCCACCTCACAAAGGACCAAGGAAGCTGCCTGGATTTGCCCTAAATTAAGCTACATCTTAAGAACAGCTGTAGCTGACTGTCACTTTTGCTTAGTTCTTGGAAATGCTAGCAGCTTTTTAAACCCAACACAGGTGGCAAACTCAAGAAGCAAGAATCACACAGATTCCAGAAGAACATTTTTAATGCTAGTCAGCTGAAACATAAAGCTTTCTAAAAAGAAATTCCCAGTCATATTATAGTAAATAAATTAAAGCAATTTCTCTTTTTTTTCTCCTTCTCATAGTCCTTACCTCTGGGCTGGGCTACTTTTTCTCATACCCCCTGAAATTCCCCATCTGGTCCCCACAATTTTTCACTTAGCCTGATCTATTTCTCCCATCTGTTTACTGTCCTAAAAAGATTTTCTTTTTCCATTTTATTCTGATTCTTCTGCTTTTCTTCTTAGGGATCCTAGCCTTGATTTATTATTTATTATATCTGTTTCTGTACACTAATGGTAACAACTGAACATCCTATCCACTACTCCTTCAGTAGACCTCGATTTTTTCATTGTTTCCTTCCCAACAATCAATGATAGTAACAAAAAAAAAAGAACGATAGAACTACCAGTATGCCCTACCCATCCTTCTGTGTGAGGGATGTTGCTCTGTTGAACTGCAAAGTTGCATTTTAAATGAAAACAATATTTCTCCATTCCCACTCTAGCCTGAATGCTGGAAAAAAAGTGGGGGAGGGGGATTTTGAGAAAAAGAAGTGTGTAATACTTACACGTTGACTTGTGATGGCTTCTTTATTATCAATATAATTAATCAGCCCCATGTTTCTTTCCTTCAGTGCATTGTACTTTGATTGGAGCTCAGAAACTTTGCTAATCAACACCTAGGTCGAAGCATATAATTGAAAAACAAAGGATGTGCTTTTGCAAAAAGAAAAAAAAATATGTGCATCTGATTCCTCTCACCTACTCAGTTACAAATATGTCACTTTGGTGGTTTTACAGTAATAAATTTTGATCAATAGACAGCTAGACTGCATTACAATAGTTTCAGTCCTTGGAACATGGGCCCATCACAATCCTGTGATGTAGATTGGGTTAAGGACAGTGGGTAAAAGTCATCTATTGAGTTTCCATGTCTGGTGGTGGACTAAGATCTGGGTCAATAAAATATACATCTGGGCTGGACAAGGTCCAGGAGCAGGACACCTGCTTTGCTTGTCAACATCCCAGTACAATCCTTGATACCTTCTATAACAATGTTCATATAGCAGGTGAAAAAATCTCTCTCCCTAAGAGAATTGCAGAACGCAGATCAGATTCTTCTAAGAGTTTTCTCACTGACTTGCAGCAAATTGCAAAATAAGTCTGATTCAACAAATTGCTGATATACTAAACTAACTAAAATTCCCAGCATCTCTTACTATTAATTATGCTAGCTAGGACTGCTACTAGATGTAGCTACATCTGAAGAAATATTGTCTTCCTACCTTTGTGCTGTTAAGAGAAACAAGCCCATCCATTGGCTATAATGATTACTTATTTTATTATTTTATTTAACATTTATATAACCATCTGTCTTTTATCAAACTCTGAGTGGCTCCCAACCAACATTAAAACAACATCAATAATAAAAATAAGAGGGTGAGGTGGATGAGGGAGTTTAACAATAGACTGCATTTGAAAGTTTAACTTTGGTGCCAGATTTTTAATAGTTATGGTTTTAAATAGTTATAACTATTAAACTAATATATTAAAACCATAAACATTAAAAACCTGGCTACAAAATTAAGTTGTGTATGCAGTCCATCTTTAAATCCCCTCATCCACCTCGCCCTATCCCAGTGCTTGGAGGAAAAGTCAGGTTTTGATTAGTATATTCAACTAATAAATAGCCTGCTTACTTTAATAAAGCCATTCTGAAATATATAAAATGGTAAACCCTGAAAAGGAAGGTTGTAGCCTTTTTTGTCTCCTGACAGATTATCCCTTTATATCCCATTTATAAAATATTGCTTAGCACATTGTAAGCCGCCCTGAGTCTCCGGAGAAGGGCGGCATATAAATCAAATTTAAAAAATAAATACATTAATTTTAAAAAAAGATTTTGTCTTTGTGGCATGACCATAGTTAGACCCTGCTCAGAGAATAGGTGTACCAATAGTTAGAGAATGAAGCACAAGAATCACAGGGTGAGTGTGCTTTGCACTAATAATAGTTTTTAAGGCTTTATCCTTTTCAGAAAGCAGAACTGACTCCATATTAAGAAATCAGTAGAGAACTAACAGATTCTGTAGCATGGCTAACCAGGCCTCTGAAGTAAACGGACAGTCGTAATTAAGAATCATAAAACCACATGGTCAAGTATTGGTAACATTACATATCTCATGGTGTTATGTTCTTCTTGTGTGGCAGCACTTTTATGATGAATTATCTCAATGTTTTTTTCTTGGCTGAGCAAATGATTCTTCAAGTTCTGATTGATAGAGAACAGGGTCTTATGCCTTTGTGTGAGGGTTTTAACTGCAGAATCTTCCTGATACCCCCAAAAGTCTGAAATAGGAAAGAGGGGAGGTCATATCATTCATGGACAACACACATTAGTCAATGGTTACAGAAGAGCTTAGGACCCCCACCTGAGTGAAGCAGAAAGGCCAGTCCTCTACATTCCTGTACTCGCATGTGCACATGTGCACACTAGTGCAGCATCAGTCTGGGAGACTGCTTATATGAGAATATGCCCATAAAAATCATTCACATGCATTAGAGAGGATTCAATTTCTCCATGGCCAAAATAGCCTATTTTTCAGAAATGCCCTTCTGTCCTTGAAGAACATAAAAAAGGCCAAAACTGATCATAAATAAGAGGAATGTTTTGTTCTGCCTTTTAGAAATGAAGAAAGAATAAAATAGCACCGCAGTCCTACTGTATAGTGTGCATGCCTCTGAAAAATAAGACATTCAGTTCACTGTGCCTCACTGCCAGGTAAGAATATACAAATCCTCAACATTGTATGTTGCAAAGGATTATATGTGATGCGAATGGACGAGCTGTCAAGGGAAAGTTTGGGATCTGAAGGAAAGAGCCAAGCCTTTCCTTTGCCCACCTTTTCATCTAAACTACCCAGTCAAATAAATCTCTACAGTACATTGTCTTACATCAGTTTCATTCATTATTTCAAAATTTATGTGTCAGTGAAGCAGGGAGGGGCTGATTGATATTGTCAATAATTGCTGCTTTAGGCCTCAGAATCTTATTTGCAGCCTCTTTGAATATATATGTCATTTGGTTTATCATTTGATTTGTTACTTTATTATTTAAGGGATGATTAATGAGATGAAGATAATTATTTAAAATAATGATAAATGGGAATTAAAACAGTTTTGCAAACTGTTATGTGGCTTTTTAAGGGAATGGTACAATTTCAAGCAAATCATTCTCAAGGAATGTTTCAATGATGGTACTCACCTGGTGGCAACAGGTTGACAATTTTTTTCAAAAAATGTTCGTAACTTTTATATTTGGCTATCTTCTTCTGTAGTTCCTGTTGTCTTTAGAAGCAGATCAAAGATACTTATTGATTTTTTATCAAAAATATCTTGCTAGGAGATAGCTATATATTATCATTCATATAGTGCAAGGGTTCTTTACCCCCGTCCATGAATTGGCACCGGTCTGCAGCATGCCAGAAACTGAAACAAACAAGCAAACAAGCGAAGCCCCATCCACTGATCGCAGGCAGCACATGAAACCATGCCCATTCTGGACAGTGGAAAAACCTCTCTCCATGGAACCGGTCCTTGGTGCCCAAAAGGTTGGGGCCCACTGATATAGTGGAAAGGCTAACATGCAACTGTAACAAAGTAAAAAGAGTGCTAAAATTGTTCACAAAGAACACTAACACTCCAGATAGACCAGGTAAACGGATTAGAAAAGACTCCCACAGAATATTGACTGGGGACAGGACTTCTCCCCCACCTCACCAGGCATGGCAGAGCTCCTGCCCCTTGCTTAGCCACCCGCCCCCTTTAGGGATGCAATTTGGGAGTAGCAGGTAGGGCGGGCGAGAAGCGGGACACACATCTTATCTTTCCACCTCTGTCACTTTCCTCGCCATTGTGTCCAGGGAAATACGCTGTAAAAGAAAACATTCTCACGAGTTCAATCAAACAACTCGACCTTGTGAGAAGGTTTTCTTTTACAACATATTTCCCTGGACACAACAGTGAGGAAAGTGACAGAGCTGGAAAGTTAAGACGCGCATCCCACTTCTCGCCCGCCATATCTGCCATTCCTCTCGATAAAGAGATGGCGGTGAAGGGAAGCAGCCGGCTGCTGTTGCCATTGGGGTGTGGTGGGGTGGGACATGTTGAGCCACAAGAGGTGCATCTTACCTTTCCAGCTCTGTCACTTTCCTCACTGTTGTGTCCAGGGAAACACCCTGTAAAAGAAAACCTTCTCACGAGTTCAAGAACTTTGAACTCACGAGGTATAGAAGTTCAATAAAATCTAAATCTAAATCTTTTACAGCGTGTTCCCCTGGACACAATGGCGAGGAACGCGACGGAGCTGGAGTGTCCCTCTTCTCACCCGCCTCACCTGCCACCTCCAAATTGCATCACATGCCCACTGATATGACTATGCGTGCCACCTGTGGCTAAGCGAGGGGCAGGAGCCCTGTCATGCCCGGCGAGGGGGGAAAAGAGACAGCAAAGGGAGCTATGTCTCACTCCATGTGTCTCGTTTCTCCCCACCCAACCTGACGCCCTTCTCAATAAAGCGATGGCGGGGAAGGGAAGCAGCTGTTGCCTTTGGGATGGGTTGGGTCAGGAATTCTGGGAGTTGAAGTCCATAAATCATAAAAGGGCTCCCACCCCTGCTCTAGAAGGTCAAGCTTGAAACCATGAATCTATTCATTCCAAATGCAGAACTACTCTGGGAATATTTTAGGCTTGCTTTATTTTTAACTGAATCGAAATACTTGTTAGATTGTATTTTATGTTTTAATTTGTAAAGATAATTACACAGGCCATGTTTCTGGTGATCCCAAAATAATCTTATCTTGCTATGGCAAATTACCATCCGATTTGGAACTCCAACCATACACATTGACTATATAATCTCAGGCTCAAATTCATAGTGTCTCCTCAGTCTGTCACGTACCTTACTTTCAGTTTTTGAAGCTCTCTTTTCAAGGTATGTATTTCTTTCCTCTTCAGTGCATTGTTTGTTTGTTCAATCTTGTATTTTGCAAGTGCACGTTTCTTTTTATGATCACATTCTCGGAGATAAATTTGGAATCCATGAGCCTGAGCCCTGTTCTGATTAAGAAAGGAAAGAAAATGTTTACTGAATTTTGCATTGATTTTACTGCTCAGAAGATCTGTTTTCCCTGCATCAAATCTGGCCCCGTTTTGTTCAGTTCTTGGAAAGTTGTTGTGCTGGCAAATAGACAGACAGATAAACAAAGTCCTGACCTTTATATAATTTATTTTCAAATTCTGTTGAAGTGGGGGGGGAGAGAGTAGACTGAGAGTAGATCTGAGACTCATTTACAAATATGTGAGAGGCTGCATGTGTAAAAGATGGCAGATTTGTTCTCTGATGAAACAGAGGCCAGGACAAGAAGTGGCAAAGTAATATCATTCCTCTTCATAAATGTTGGCATATAAACACTTTATGTTGCTTCAGTGATAGTGCCAGTGAGGACAGATGGAGCAGAGACATGCCCAGCTCCTACTGATCTATTCCATCTATTGTGGCACACCACTCTCCATTTGGTAACTCGGCAGGACCCACTACATGCATTTTGGTTTGGGCTAGAAAGGAGATTGGACATCTGGCATACACAGTATAGATCTGTCAGCTGGAGTATATTCTTGTTTTGTTTGACACAGGACTATTAATCACATTCCTCTTAGTGTATCTCCTAAAAGTTAGAAAAAAATCATCCTGCATTTGAAGATCCTTAAATTGTGTAACAGCTCTCCTGGTTTTTGAAGATGCTATCAAGTATTAGAAACATGCTTCAACTTCATAGCCAAAGGCAGGAAAACTGAGATAGTGATTTCAAGGAATCATAGATGTATAGAATTAGAAGGGACCATATAGATCATCTAATCCAAACTTTTGTGATATGCACTGAGGGAGCTCAGCCAATCTCATTGTACATATGTTGTGCACTGACAATAAAGATTTGAAATTGAATATGCAGAAAGACCAAATAAATAGCCAAGATCTATTCTCTAGAGATTTGGTGAGCAATAATTCTGCCTTCTGACCTCCCAATGACTATATGCACCAGCTTTTCATCAGGAGAAACCATGCTGTGAGATACTCCCAAGAGGAGCCTTGCCATGGTGCTAGTGAACAAAGGAAGTCCAGTGACTTTGGGCTTAGAAGAAGTATGGCATGTCCCCAAAGCCAACATGCCCAAGACAAGCAATGCTGTTGGTTTTGTTTCTCTTTCTTCCCCAAAGGAAGGGGAGGAAACCTTGCAAAGGTGAGAGCAGGGGTGAAATTCAGCAGGTTCTAACAGGTTCTGGAGAACCGGTAGTGGAAATTTTGAGTAGTTTGGAGAATTGACAAATACCACCTGTGGCTGCCCCCAGAGTGGGATGGGAATGGAGATCTTGCAATATCCTTCCCCCAGGAGTGGAGAGGGAATGGAGATTTTGCAGTATCCTTCTCCTGCCACGCCCACCAAGCCACGCCCACAGAACTGATAGGGAAAAAGTTTGAATTTCACGCCTGGATGAGAGGCACTGGTGATCTCCTCACTGTCTCATATTCTCCATCTATTTCCTGAATATCTTCCCCATTCTGACCAGCAGCAGCTATTTGTGAATCAGCAGCTTGACTTTGGTGGTTGAGGTTCTTCTTGAAGGCTTAACTTTCTAAAAGTTGACTTTTGGTCATTCAATCTCTCTCACCAAATTACCTGGTAAAGAGTGTTTGGGTGGGAGGAGAAACAGGCTTCTGCAGAATATGTTCTACTATGGTCATTTTTCCTTCACTCTTTTTAGAAGATTTTCGATAGGAATATCAATCTCACAGAATATAAAATATAAAAATACTTTTTAAAATGTATGGGAAAACAGGACATAATGCCTAAGATCAATATTTATAAGAAAAACATCAGAAAGGAAAGAGAGAGGAAGACTCTAGTCAGGAGAAAGCACAGAAGGAAAAACATGTTACTGTACAAAAAGCCAAGAAAACTAGCATCCACAAAAATTCGCAGTGTAGGCCATTCATTAAAGTTATTCCAATTTCATATCCCAGCTTAAAAACAGAAGCAGGTGTTTTGATTCTCCTCCGCATAGTTGGATAAGAAGAGGAATACTCATTTACATGCCCAGTTTACACTTTTATGTTTTACATTTTGTGTAAAAGAGATGATAGACCCTTCCTCACAGATGAAAAATAATACTTGCATTCTGATCTTTTTCTTGAAGTTCCTCTCTGCAGTCAGCCACCCTTTCCATCCTCATTTTGACATCTTGCTTCTTAGCAATCAGGTCAGCAGTAATAATGTCATTTTTAGCCTTTTTCTTCAAGAGACGTAACTGTTGCAATGTTTTCCTACTAGGATGTAGAACCTCACTGGAAACCTAGAAAATGAATTATAAGTTTATGTTGGTAAAAGGACACGCCACAAAGGAAAGGTGGAGAAGAGCAAGCTTTAGTCCAGAAATGAGTAATTCCCATAAGCATTTCTAATGGTGACTAAGGTAAAGGTAAAGGTTCCCCTTGCACATATGTTCCTGACTCTAGGGGGCAGTGCTCATTTCCGTTTCAAAGCCAAAGAGCCAGTGCTGTCGTCTCCATGGTCATGTGGCCGGCATGACTAAATCCAAAGGCACACAGAATGCTGTTACCTTCCTACCAAAGGTGGTCCCTATTTTTCTACTTGCATTTTTTACATGCTTTCAAACTGCTAGGTTGGCAGAAGCTGGGACAAGTAATGGGAGCTCACCCCGTTACGCGGCACTAGAGATTCGAACCATTGAACTGCCAACCTTTCGATAGAAAGCTCAGCATCTTAGCCACTGAGCCTCTGTGTCCCTAATGGTGACTAGAATGAGCTAAAAATCATTAATGCAATAAAGATATTATTCTCAAGATAATAAGGACATAACACTTTATCAAACTCTCTAGGAAAATGGCTTGTTGTCTGTAAACAAAAAAATGATACAGAAAATTATGATGTTAATAGCAGCTGGATGCATCCCAAGAAATAGCTCCGGTGGCTGACACCAAGGAAAGATGTTATGGATATGGAGGCACCGCAAGGCTCTGAGTCTGAAAAAATGCATCATACACTAGGAGAAAACTTCTGCTGCTGCATGAAGAGCATATACATATCCAAAGGAAATGTTATTAATACTCTCTCTAATTCACTGGAGTTTTACTATGCATAAGGGTTGGCTTCAATCTTGGAGTGTTCAGTGTACAGGAAAGGGAAGAGAGAGGAAGGGAAAGTCACAATATAACTGTAAGGAGAGATTTCCTAATGGTGAGAACAGCCAACCAGTGGAACAGCTTGTCTTCAGAAATGGTGAATGCTCCATCACTCGAGGCTTAAAAGAACAGATGGGACAACCATTGTCTGAAATTGTATAGGGTCTCCTGCTCGAGCAGGAGGTTTGACTAGAAGACCTCCAAGATCCCTTCTAGCTCTGTTATTCTATGTTCTAATTTGGTGGATAATATAACCCATTCCCTGCCTATATAGTTTTAGAAAGAGATATTTTCTGTAAAAACAAAACACACCTTCCTAGAACAGACAATGTATTACCCAGTCTTTATCAACATTTGCATAGCTGGAAATTTATCTATCCACTTCCCATCTTTAGTAAGCAGTCTAACAAAGTATACAAATTCATCTACTTGTCCTTGTATTTGGCTCTTCATATATAACTTGCATTTGTTCACTCCTTGTTCCTATATATCATTGTAAATACATGGTAAAATTACCAAAGAAACCAAACCTAGGTTACTATTTGCTCTGGAATTTTTCGTCTTTGGAAAAGTAAGATGCACCCAAGTGAATTTTATCAGGAACTGTTGACTATGGACAATTTTCCTAGATAACATGCATCATCTCATAGAGGCATGTTTCTCCGAAAAATAAAACAAAATTCAATCTATGGAATTATCTAATCCATTTCATTCACACACAGATATCAGGAGGGCAGATAATCCTCATCTAACAATGCTAATTGGAACCAGAAATTCTGGCATTAAACAATGAGGACCCAGATTGTTGGGGGCAATATGCTATTTAGTATACTGTCTTTGGTGTAAGCCGCCCAGAGTCCTCGGAGAGTGGGCAGCATAGAAATACAACTAATAAAATAAAAATAAAATGTGATTATAAATATAATCTTAGTGATAGCAGTTACAGAAGTTCTGGTTGCCATCATTAAGCAAGGACCACAAGTGACCATGACTTCCGACTTCCCGATGGCTTTCCCATTGACATTGCTTGTGGGAAGCTGAAAGGGAAGATCATGTGACCTGGGAACACTGTGAGAGCCATAAATAGAATGAAGGAGGTGGGCAGTTCACAAAAAATAAAAGAAAGGAAGGAAGGAAGGGAGGGAGGGAGGGAGGGAGGAAGGAAGGAAGGAAGGAAGGAAGGAAGGGAGGAAAGAAGGAAGGAAGGAAGGAAGGAAGAAAGAATAGATCTGGTCATAAGTACCACTCATTCTGTGAGAGAAGGGTCATTAAATGAGGACCACCTGAGTAAGCCGACATCATGAAGTTTCTACTAAACTTCTATTCTCACATTCCTAAAAAGAAATAGAACTACTGTAATGGTATGTGGGAATGACCTTGGAAGACAGAAGGAAGAACTGCAGATTAGACAACTGTCGTGCAGGAATTATATCAACCCACAGGACAAGAAAAGGGACAGGGGAAGCATTTTAGATGGGACTCTCTCTAGTTTTCTGGAACATGAAAATTAAAGGAGACTTGCAAGATTGTTGCTATGCCTTACAATAAAGATATTGTTAGTACTCATAGTTTGTGTTTCATGTCTGGATTATCTTGAAGGACTGACAGGTACAGAAGTCCCACTCTGTATTTAATCTGGGAATCTTATTGAAGGTAATATAGAATTTAAAAAATAGCAACAAACCGGAATGGGAACATGAGTGACACGTTCACCGTCTTCTTCCCTGTAAAATGTAAAAGTAAAATTATTGTCACAACTCTTATTAACTTCTAGAAGCAGTTATCTCTATGTAAAAGGCAGCTCTCAACATTCTGTCATTCTTGTGTGACCTAGAAATGGAATCCAAGTGTGGCTATGCAACCCAGGTCCTGTCATCTACCCATCTCCTGGGTGAGCCATTTGCTTTTCTTTCTAAGGTGTATTACCTGACAGCACTAAGGCTTCCTTGCTGTAGCCCTAGGTCAGCCTTCCAGAAGTATGGACTTTGATTCCCAGGATTTCCTAGCTATAATAGTTAGTGCTAAGGATTTGGGAAAGTAAAATCCACACATCCAGAAAATGCCTAGATTAACATTTTGTGTAATGGGAGAGATTTGGACAATGTTGTTTGGTGTAGAAACCATATCACCAAAGTCTTCACTTTGTGCCTGATAGCTCTGTGTAAGAGAAAGAATGTGAAAAGTCTTCCATTTGCTAATTTTAGTGTCAGCAACATTCCTGGTTGACCGTATTTGCTGCCTTTTTAAGCACTGTTGTTGTCTTCTCAGCTTTGCTACTGAACATGCAGGGCATCCTAGCTACTACACTGGCCATGAACTGAAGAACTCTAGCACAGTGGTGACAATGAATGGCTTTGCTAACCAAAACTTCCTTTGTTCTAAGATCCAATCTTTGTTTGGTATACTTTACACAGGGGTGTCAAACTCGCATTGTCATGGCATTGTCGCATGACGTATCGTGACTTTTTTCCCATTCGTTAAATCGGGCATGAGCATGGTCAGCGTGTGACGCATCTGGGCCACAGTCCGTGACACCCCTGCTTTACAAGAACAAAGAACATAATATAAAAGATCATAGAGCAGAAGCCCCCAACCTTTTTGGCACCCGGGAACCAGTTCCGTGGAGAGAGTTTTTTTCTGCGGACCAGAGTGGGCATGGGTCTGCATGCTGCCTGCATCCCACAAATGAGGTTTCGCTTGTTTGTGCAGCCCGATGTCTGCATGCCACAGCCTGGTGCTGGTCCACAGACTAGGGTTTGGGGACCCCTGTCATAGAGGATTTAACTCAATCATCTCTAGTTTAGTTTAGTGCTCTCCATAGGTGGTATTCAGTTTCTATAATTTTCATCCAGTTGGCCAACTATCTAAGTTATCTAAACTTTACAAGTAATATCTCACACTGTTATTTGAAGGGAGGGGAGGGAACGGGAGGGGAGGGGGAAGCATCATTACCACATGTTTCTTAGCATCCCAAATTTGAAACCTCTGAAGAAGGTTTGGGTCACTGACAGCAATGATCATGACATACTCCAGCAGTGTGTAGAAATAGCACGAAGCATCACAATGGCACCTCCATCTCCATGACATCTCTTTGCTTCATTCTTAAGCCACCTTAACTACAGGGGAAAATCAATTCACAAGTTTACAGCAGACTCTCCTTGTTTAAACTCAATCACCATTAAGCAATATAGTTGTATAATTCCTTTCTGAATAGCTGTACTAAGGATAGCATGGTGCTGCAAGAATGCAAGCAAAGAACTAAGCTGCATCTTTATAACTCCTGAGGTAGCAGGAGCTAAGGAAACAATCCCACCACCTATCCATTATTATTAGTTGGTGATCAATACAGTAGGAAGAGATGCAGAATAAGGGCCAGTAGAGGAAGGTATTATTCTATTTTATCACAGTTTTAGGGCTGTTAATTAAATGTATATGTAATTTATTCTATTAATTTTGTTAATATGTATAAGTATACACATACACCAGTCTATTGCTTGAGAAGCATCTTTAATGACCTATCATATACAGTAAACATATATACATCCACACTCTATTTACTCAGACATTTCTTTGTCATTGGGTTTATGTTAAATTTAATTGTGTTGTACCTAATAAAGCACTCTGTTTCTCACAGTGGTCAACTAGATGTCCCTAGAAATTCACAACTTGACTTAGATCAGGCTATTCTTTGTCTTCAACATTGCAATATCTCAAAACATGGGGGAAAATCCATTTAGCTGTCACAGCTATGCCATTACTCCTGCTAATATATAATATGCCATCCATCAACACATTTCTGGGACAGCTTACAATACAAGAAATGAAATACAACATTCAAAGTCAAGATGGAGTCATAACTTTAAAAATCAAAACCATTAACATTTAGCATCAGAAAGGTTACTTGACAAAGGCTCTGTTGTGAAAATAAAGCATAGCTTATGGACTCAGAATCAAATTCTATATGCATAAATCAGTGGTGATTTAAATGCCTTGATGCCTTTTTTAAAAAAGTCTTTAGCTAGTGCTAAAATTAGTATCAGACAAGCTTCTTTGGGAAATGATTCTGCATCAGCATGCCACTTTAATGACATCAGCCAACAGAATCGTCCTCTAAGAAAGTGTATAATCTTGCTATACAAGCTACTATCCATCAATATTTGTGAGGATGACGACTAGATATTTCACAGACAGAGGTTTTCCACCTTATTTCTTCTTTTTGGCATTCAGCATTCTCTAAAGGATACACCATAGATGATTAGAGTCTGCTTGGATTGATGCTGCAAGTAAATCACATAAATAATCAATTTTTACTTGTATTTCCCTAACTAGGCACAACCCCTCCCAAAAAAACCCTAACTCACCCTTTCTCCTTGAGTTCCTTTCTATTTGCAGAATATATGTGTGAACATTATCTTTTGTTATCATTAGAATAGTTTTTCCTTTAAAATAAAGATTTTTAAGAGTTGTAAGCATGAAGAACAAACTCATGTTGCAAAATTTATAAATGTAGTAGGGGGGTATATTCTGAGTTCCGGCAATACTGGATATGACTTGGAAAAATCCCAGCAACCTCTGGATAGTTTTCCATATCCATCATTTGCCACCATCTAGTAATCATTTTAGTAGCCTAGATCTGATAATCCTACATGCATTCAGTGGCTTCCATGTTCACCTAACAACCCCAACACACCTTGTGGATGAAGTCCTGAAATGCCAGGGGACAATATATTCTCTGTTCTCTGGGGGAAAAAATCTGGACACAATTTAAGTAGATATCATAACAGCCAACTATTAAATCACTCAAGTGATCATCCAAAAGATCTTTCTTCCAGGCCAATTTGTGCTTAATCTTTAGATAGAATTAGGGAAAATATCTGTCAAGTGCCAGGGAAATCATGAGATCCAGGCAGTTCAAATGGCTAACAAGATTTATTGCAAACATAAGCTCCCTACAAGAATCTGGACTACTAATGGTCAAAGCAATTTGGCTGTACATAAGGAATTCAAGGTGGGCTGGACTTAGATCTCTGGAGGGTGCAAAGGGACTCATGACTGATGACACATTTGACCACTCCCTCTGGCTCAGCCTGGTCATCTCCTACAATATCTCAGGGGCTGCCACAAAGAAAAGGGAGCCAAGCTATTCTCAAAAGCATCTGAGGGTAGGACAAGAAGCAATGGGTGGAAACTAATCAAGGAGAGGAGGAACTTAGAACTAAGGAGAAATTTCCTGACGATTAGAACAATTAATCAGTGGAACAACTTGCCTCCAGAAGTCGTGAATGCTCCAACACTGGAAGTTTTTAAGATGTTGGATAATCATTTGTCTGAAGTGGTGTAGGGTTTCCTGCCTAAGCAGGGGGTTGAACTAGAAGACCTCCAAGGACCCTTCCAACTCTGTTATTCTAAATATCACAGCTCAATAGTTAAAGTGTATGTGTTGTTTTCAGAAGGTTCCAGATTCACCACTAGTATTTCAAAGGGCCACAGCCTTGTGGCAAGATGGATGGCAATCACATTTAATGAATAATAATATAAAAAAATAGAAATTGTTTTCAATCTGCACATGCAGCACTTGGCAAAACACATAGTTTGCTGTCATCTTAGGCAGTTTCTTACAGTGTTGTCTTAAAGTAACTTGGGAAATAACTTGAGAAATTGTACCCCCTGTTTCCCAGGTTGAGCCCTATCATTAAACAGAATGAAAAAGCTTCTTCAGGAGATAAAGCACAGATAACATCAGCCAAAGGTTATAGAATGTCATTCACTGAACCCTGGAGATTCTGTAACATTTTCTACAGCATTTGTAAAGTACTTCATCCGGCCAACGGTGTTAAAATAAGATTTGCCTAAAGGGATATTAGTTAGGAGGCATAACGTTTTGAATGTGAAATATAATGACAAGTGGTGGGTTTCAACCGGTGTTATCACCGGTTCGCTTCATGCACGCGCTTTGCAAAATAAAACAAAACAAAAATGAATTTAAAAATAATAACTTAAAAATAATTAATTAATTAAAAAGAAAACAAAAAATACCCTAATAACTTAAAGGGCAGACTTGATGGACCATCATGTTTTCTTCTGCCGTCAGTTTTCTACATTTCTATGCTTCTAATATGTTGTTTGTTGTTGATTTGCATGATCCATCTTTCCAGTTTAGGTTGATTTCTGTTATTGCTGTGTACAGTTTGTTTATCACATCATTAGATATAATTCAGGAGCCTGCCATGTTTGTTAAGTGTGGTGTTATTTTTAACTGATTTAAATGCTACACATTTGATGGTATGTTGTGCAACAGATATTTTTTAGCGTCATCTGACATTTCGTCCAGACACTTGTGCTAATTTTAACTTCACCGTGTAGATATAGGGCAAACAAATAAATGTCAGTTTTTCAAAACAAGTTGGTGATAGGAAAATCTGATTCCTTCGAAATGATTTTAATAGCAAGTGATTGAGGCAATTAAGATTGTACTTAAGTCAAATTTTATAATTGCTTATAAAAATGTTTATGAAATGCAGTGTTAAAAACTGGAATTTTGGAATGGAAAAGATAATACCCATGGAAAGGCTATGATTCTATTTTACTCCCGAGACTGCCTCACTTCTAGGCCCGTCCCCAAAGCCAAAATGTTGTGTATGAATATCTATGGGAAGAGCCTATGTACTTAAACCTGGGGAATCAGAAATCTCAAACATGTATAAAGCCACTGTGGGTTGCAGATATAAGTTTATATCTGCAGATGTTCATGCTAAATGTTGGGTTGTTGTAGACCAAGATAAAAGACAATTTAAAGGGTGAAGATAAGTTTCTCTGAACTTTTTCCAATAAGGCATTCCTAACATCTTAACATCACCCTCCAACAAAAGTGCGTATAATCGAGGCTATGGTTTTCCCAGTTGCAATATATGGCTGTGAGAGTTGGACCATAAGAAAGGCTGAGCGCCAAAGAATTGAGGCCTTTGAACTATGGTGCTGGAGAAGACTCCTGCAATCAAACAGTTGTTGGACTGCAAGGCGATCAAACCGGTCAGTCCTAGAGGAGATCAACCCTGACTGCTCTTTAGAAGGCCAAGTCCTGAAGATGAAACTCAAATACTTTGGCCACCTAATGAGAAGGAAGGACTCACTGGAGAAGAACCTAATGCTGGGAAAGATTAAGGGCAAAAGAAGAAGGGGACGACAGAGAATGAGGTGGCTGGATGGAGTCACTGAAGCAATTGGCGTGAGTTTAAATGGACTCTGGGGGACAGAGGACAGGAAGGCCTGGAGGAATGTTGTCCATGGGGTTGTGATGGATCAGACACAACTTCGCAACTAACAACAACATCCTACAGTGCAGCAAGAGTTGTAGAAAACAGGAGAAAAAGTTACAGATATTCACATTTACTTTTTCTATACTGGTTGAACCATGGCCTACAGGCATATGCTGAACCTCTATTTTGTGGCTTAGAAATTGCAGGGTCCAATATTTTTAGAAAGCTACTAAGGTAATACATTCTCTTTCTGATTTTCCATGGGAAAAAATTGAAACGTATAATATTTTAATTAATACACATATTCTTCTACTTAACAACAGTTCATTTAATGACCATTCAAAGTTACAATGGCACTGAAAAAAGGGGCTTATGACCATTTTTTCACACTTACGACCATTCCAGCATCCCCAAGGTCACATGATCAAAATTCAGATGCTTGACTCATATTTATGAAGGTTACAGCATCCCAGGGTGATGCGATTAGTTTTTGTGATCTTCTAACAAGCAAAGTCAATGGCGAAACTGGATTCATGTAACAACTGTGTTATTAATTTAACAACTGCAATGATTCACTTAATGACTGTGGCAAGAAAGGTCATAAAATGGGGCAAAACTCATTTAACAAATGTCTGAAGTGGCAACATAAATGTTTTACTCAATTGTGGTCATAAGTTGAGGACTACCTGAATACCAAAACATAAAAAAATCAAATACCTACCATATTTTTTAAAGACTTTGGCCACTAAAAGATTTCCATTCTGTTTTGTTTA